CTAAAACTTTTCTTTTTACATTTTTCAAAATCTGATTGATAAACAATTCATTTACTTTTAAGGTTTTTAATTTACTAAATAATCTTCTTTCTCCAATATCCTTAATCTGACTGATAAATAATACATTAATATTTAGGATTTTTAATTTTTATTACATAATATTCTTTTTCAAAAAAAAAAGTAATTATAATCCTTTATTCTTTATTATTATATTTTATATATATCTAGAAAATATAAAATTCTAATCCATTTACTTTTTTTTTTAATCAACAATCCATTTACTTTTAAAATCTTTAATTTACTAAAATAATGATCTTCTTTTTACATTTGTCAAAATCTGATCAATAAACATGTCCGGTATCACCATCATATGTGTTTCTAAGTTAAAAACCAAAGCATTATATAAGAAGGTAGATACCTTAGTTTCAACTTCATTTATACTCAAACTCCTATTTCTCCATGAAAGAGAAGGATCAAGAACTTGACAAGGATGGTTCCAACAAAGGTCCAGGTCACCTAGAATTGACCTCTTTTGATATTACTGTGGAGATTCTAACTAGATTGCCAGTAAAATCTCTTATGAAGTTCCAATATGTTTCCAAGACATGGTGTTCCATCATCCGAAGCAAAAATTTCATCAACTCTTTGGTCTCAACACCATCACCTCTATTTCTAATATCTTTAATGACCAACGAGAAAGCTGAAAAGTATTTGTTCCTTTTAACGTCTTTACAAGAGAAAGATGAAGAATCTACTTCTTTGGTAGCAAATCTGGACATGACACTAGCTTCTAACAATGCTAATAATTTTTCTGTACGGTGTGCTTCGGTCAATGGCTTTATTTCTCTTTCGCCTAATGGTCGGTTCGTGGTATGTAACCCTAGCACAAAACAAGTGATATTATTACCGAAATTCGAAACCGCTGGTACTAAATGGGGACCTGTTTATAAGTTCTTGGGGTATGATCCCATTAATGATCAATACAAAGCATTGTGTAAGAAGATGTTTTCATATCCTGATGAAGATCAAGGGCACATGGTTTTAACACTTGGAGGTGACAAAACACATACATGGAGACAAATTGAAGGCGCTCCCCAAAATTATCTCCCTAGGTCAGAAGGAATATGCATCAATGGATTTGTGTATTATCGCGCTTGGACTCCCGATTCATCTAGATTGTTAGTGTGTTTTGATGTTAGATTAGAGAAGCTAAGTATTATTAAACTGAAAATATCATGTTGGGACGACTCTACTTCAGCTTTGATCAACTACAAAGGAGAGCTAGCTCACGTTGTTATTGGTGGATGCTTCCTTGATTTTTGGGTATTAATAGATGCCAAAGAACATAAATGGTCGAATAAATTTCATCAAATCTATAGAGTTTGGTGGGATTCTATACCAGTAGACGTTCCAATAACTATCCATGGCACTAACAATGTTGGTGAAATCATTATTTCCCCAAAGTTTTTACTATGTAACCTTGGAGACTTTCCCATTATCTACTACGATATAGAAAAGAAAAAGGTTACAAAGGTTCAACTTAAAGGAATTGCATGTGATGAAGATTTTAGGCGTCGTTATGGTCCTTGCCTTGTCAATATCTCACCAGAACATTGTTGTAATTTTAACTTAATATGATTTAATTCGAGTTAATGATTTAGTTCTAGTTTCACAAAATTTAGATTTAAATTTTGTTTATATAATTCGTAATTCAGAAAATGTGATGACTAGTTTGCGGTCTCAAATCTTTATATATATACTAGATAATGGTCCGCGTAAATATATACATAATATATATTTGTTAGAATTAAAAATAATTTAAAAAATTAAAAACAACATAATTAGTAAAACAATAAAATAAAATCCACCAATAATTGGAAATCCAACATTGTCTTAAATTTTAATTTTCTATATTTTATAATCTCATAAGTAATAATTTTTTATTATCTTATATCAAACTAATTTTCGGTGGGTTATAAGTTATAAACTAAAAACTAAATAAAAATATGCTAACATTCTTATCCATTAACATCAAGTAGTCGAAAGTTCATTTCTATTGTGTCATATTTTTTGTTTTCACATATAACTTCATGAATTTTTTTTTTATCAATTTTAAATTAATTAATTATTGGAAATTATGAAAATTGTTACATCGATGATTTTACCATGGAAAATTCCTTCCGCCCCTATTAGATTCACGATTGAGAACATTTCATCTTCAACCTAACGACACTTTTTTCTTCTTCAATACCTAGAATCATAGTGAATAGCTCTAATTACGCATCATTGAAGATCTCATATAAACTTGACTTTATTAATCTGCATAATTATTAATACATCGCGTATTATTTGGGACTCAAACCTCGGACTTCCTGGTGTAGAAACATTAGATAACCTTTGGTCAACCATAAGACCAAGAAGACTTCCACATCTTAATTTAAGGAAAAAAAATATGTGAGATTATACTAATATTCTCATAAAGTATTCAGAAATTCATTTTTATAAGCTTATTATTTTTACACCTTTGTATGTTTTTACTTAAAAATAAAATATACAAAAATACAGTTTGTATCCAATTAAACTTATATTAAATAACTTATGTTGTTATTTTGAACTTCATAATTAATTATTTATTGGTTAATATATACGCTAAATGTATTTTTTTATATGTCAAAATATTTTTGAGAACACACCTAATATTAGCATATGCAGATATTTACTTATTTTTGTTAGTTTTCTTTGTTGGTTTTAATTTTTTTCTTTAAACATATAAATATAAACATGTAAATTAATAAGTCAATATGTATTTTAATTTGTTTCTCTGCTTCGTTAGAGAAAAAATGTTAATTGTTTTTACACATGCAAACATCTGATTGATATTTATATAGTAAGATATAGGTTTTTGAAATTAGTTTTCCTAATTTGTTAAGTAAAATAAGTAAATTGTTTGACACGTGTCAACATCTTATCGATAGACTTGACACGTGTCATGATCCTGTTAATGGCTAACTTTGAAAACCAAGTTTTATATATAAAAAATTTTAAAAGTAGTTTTCCTATTTTGTTAAGTAAAATAAGCAAAAATATTTTGACACGTGTCGAAGTCTTATCAATAGACTTGATACGTGTCATAATTATGTTAATGGCTAAGATTTTTTTTTCAACGTTAATGGCTAAGATCATCATCAAAATACTTCGTTTTCTTTTGGGGTGTTTTAAAAATCCATGCTATAATAATCGAAAAACTAAGAATCCATGCTCGATAACCAAAAAATTAAATATCACTACTCCCCCTGGTTGAAGTTACGAAACTGGCCCTATACAAACTTAATACTAGATTTCGAAATTTCACTAGCCTTAGTCGTATCCTATAATATCTTGTTCTGTCAGCTTTGTATACACAACTGGCATGGGTTACACATAGATAATTTTTATATTATGTACCAAGATATTTTAAATATATGAAAAGTATTTGTATGCACATGGTAAGATAGTTATTATACGGATAATATTTATATTAGCATGCTAAGTTAGTATGCTAAGTTATTTAATATTCGATAAATTATAAATTTAGCATGTTAATTTATTCAATATCTGATAAATTGAATTTTAGCATGCTAAATTATTCAATATTCGATCAATTAACGATTTTCTCCTATCCACATGTCTCCAAATGAAGTAGCCAAAGTTTTATTTCTGACCAGGATAACATATTAAAAATCTAAATAGTTGTTAACAAATATTATTTATATTAGCAGGATAAACTCATATGCTAACTTATTCAATATTCGATAAATTGAACCTTGCTCTATAATCTCGAGCTGATCTTGCCACAATCTTCAAGCAAATACAAAACCACAACGAAAAAGATTAAGACACCATGAGACTCTGACCACCATGACGCCTCAATCAACACCTTTCCACACCCAACACTTCATAGCTACTTCAAACCTTTGTCGAAATACTTGATTTCACCTATGAAGATCATACACAAGATAAGAGAAGGAGACCATGGCTCCATTTTGCAATACTCAGACTGAAGATAGGAGAGAAGAAGAGAGAAAGAAGATAGGAGAGAAGAAGAGAGAAAGCGAGAGAAAAGAGAAAAAGAGAGAAGAAAATGTGATATTTTGTCTTTGCTAAGTTATAGAGTCAATAGAGTACTCAATTGAAATAGCTATAGGGAGAGAATCGTCCGAAAAATTATTAGCTAAATATAAGTTTATGGGGAATGAATATTTATTTTATTTTTTATTTAGGTACATCTAGTGTAGTTTCCCTTTCTTTTGCTATGAAGGTTTTCTGGTTTCTCAAAGTTTGGATTTGTCTCTTTAGTGTTCATCTTTTAATAACCAAATTAAGTTTTGGTTTTTTCATCTTCTGAATACCTCGTTAGACTATTGGTTATTTAAATTAGTTTATAATAATTAGACAAATCACTTTTATAATAATTAGTTTACCTCCTGTTTTCTACCGAAAAAAAAAGTTAAATAACCATTAGATGTCTTTCACAAATTGTCTGTTCAGAAAACAGGGTCCATACTTGGTCCATGACAAAACATCAACTGTTATGTACTCTGACTCAAACTTCTTCATACTATTCCTCAATGAGAGTTTCTTAGACGACGTTATATCAACGGCCACCACTCCTTTATACCCAGCATAGCGGATTTGAAAAGCTGATGGACAAACATCGAGGCCACATTTTTCAGCCACAAGTTTGGCAAATTCCGTTGATATCTTCCCGACCCCATCATAATAGACATAAGGTATCCCGGAAGAATTATTCTCGATATCTGGTATCAATTCCAACTCATCGCTCATAATAGTACGTGTCTCAATAGATGAGCTAAATGATTGGCCGAGCCTTGCAGCGTACTTTGCTACATTCCTTATACTACTGAAATCACCATCCAAGTTCTGATAGTTGCTGCTGTAACCTTATTAATGGGTGCAAACATCCAAAGAGAATTTACCCGCAATTGGCTCGAAGAGAAGGCTAGAAAATCAAACTTTTTATTGCCGATCTCAATCCCATGTTGAACACAGAACTAATCCTCTCATATAATTTTGTTTTGTTTTCAATAGACCGAGAACATAGATCCGTTGAATATAGTTGGTTAGAATCTTCATCGACGAAAGACACTACCATAAAATTGTCAATATACTCTGAGTAGTTTCTAACTATTCGATTTGAATATTCATTGGGTCCACTGAAAAAACCCTAGTTCGCGTAACCTTTAGCTAGAGGATATAAACAACGCCATCTCCCAGAGGTAGTCCACAGGAATCATCACTTTTTTTAACCCAATCCACTTTCTGTTGCCTGAGCCAAACCTTAGGTTCAAAGATATCTTTTAAACAACCAAGGTCTCATGCTTTCGTGTATAAAATCTTCATCCTGTTTTCTAGGGTCTACTAGCTCAAAAAAATCACCATCAAGAGCTGTCCTTGGGAGACACCCATTCTGCATCAAAGAATTTATTTTAAACAAAATCTTGTAGGGTAAGTCAGATCCTGAGGGAGGATCGACAACAGGAGAAAGCTTGTTTGACATTGACGTATAACACTGTCCTAATTTTATGTCAAAACTGCAGGACTTATGGTCTGAATAGTTGTTGTTGAATTTTTTTTTTGACGTCATCAAGAAGTTGTAAGTTACGATGATGAAGCTCCCAACAAAACGCAAAGGGTTGACTAATACATGAACGTGTAAAATCAGTACATCTTTGCCACTCATCATCAGGTTCATCCCAGAAGAAATTAATTGTTCCAGAGGTGGGATGTTGATTATCCTTCTCATAGAGTTTTGGAGATGTGGTAACCCTAATTAAGTACAAGAAACTCTGACGACCTATTTTTTGGGGAATGTAGAACCACGTCTCTGATGATTCCGTAAGGAAACTCCATTCAATAAGGTTTTCCATCCCAAGACAGAGAGACATGAAGATTGCGCAAATCAACCCCAAACAAGGAAAGACCATGCCCTAGCCATAAAAATTGATCCGACGTAACTTGGTTTCCCATATACATCGTCAACCCCGCTCTTATCTCTTGCACTGTCGCTCTATCATAAGAGGAAAGCTCATAATCCAAATTATAAGGCTTGAGCCGATATCTTAAATTGTAAACGATATTTTATTTTTCCTCTAGGTCGATTGAAAGAACCCATCCCATTTTTTTTTTTAAACATGCAACCGGATTAACCCAATTAATTCGAACCAGCTAAACCGACATAATAATTTAAATCAATTAAACCAAACAATATTAACCAGCGGAAGACTTAACCAAAAATCCAATAAAACAATTCCATTAAAACAACAAGTTCAACCAAACATTATTACAAAACATGATCATCCTAACATGTTTCTAAATTCCATTCTAACACCCTAATAAATCCAACAATAACCTAAAACACCAATGAGTGCCTAGATCATCCTCCTCTCCTTGCCATGATTCCACGGATCACACTTTGCTTTTACCTGCATCAAAGAAAGAGATGCATAAGTATTTCATAAATACTTAGTGAGGCAATCATCCCACCACTGGCTATACACACAAGCAGAAATGAACACATTCAAGTATAACTCAAACAACCACCAATACAACGCAAAACAACACAACATGACCCGTTCTGACAAGCAGTGTCGATCGACACCATCCGCTGGTGTCGCTCGACACTCGCGACCATCCTTGCGAGAAAGAAAGTTGGTGTCGATCGACACCCTCCCTTGGTGTCGAGCGACACCGAAACCCTAACATCGCTCCAGCCGCTTCTCATCGACGAATCCACCAACTCCAGGACTCCAGCCCTGATCTATCTCCTTCCCAGACTCGTACCAAGACACCATATCACATAGACAAGCATACAAACACAGAAATCAAATATAAATCAGAAGGAACACTCAAAATATGCATCAAAACTGCTTAGATCAGCCTAGTCATGCACTCACCTTTCAAAAGGACAGAAACAAGGACGAACAGATCACAACAACAGCAACCAAGGACTCTCCTAACACCACAGCTACGAGATCTATCTTCCCAAGGACAGAAACACCACGAACAAGCCTCAGAACACTTCTCAAACCTCCCAAACCTCTCTAGAGAACTTAGAAACCTTTTAAAAGAATAAAAGCGGCCACCCTTACGACCTTTATTCTTTTAAACGTGACCTAGGGTTAAACCCTAACCAAAACCTCAATTGAACCGACGATTTAAAACTTAAACCGTCAAACCAAAATTACTAGTGTCGATCGACACCCAACCACAGTGTCGATCGACACCACCCGGATTTCCAGACACGGGCGTTACAATTCTCCCCCACTAACTAGGATTCGTCCCCGAATCCTCCAACACAACCGTCAGTACACAACTGACCTCACCGAGGCCCCTATCTAATCAATATACTCGCGTTCCAGACCCTATTTGCTCATACACACCCACCTCCCCCGTCCATAGGTCGCAACCCGTGGATCATACCGGCTCGTCTTCAGGCCTCAGCCTTAGACTACGGTATCCAGGAAGCCTCACCACTTCCCCCGCTCTCAGGTCGCAACCCTCAAGTCATACCGGCTCACTATTAGGCCACCCGCCTTCTAGCTACGGTATCCGGGAAGTCACACGCTCGCTCTCGGGTCGTCACCTTCAAGCGTGCACTCGAATCGTCATCCGAGGCCATCACATCATATCCGAGCAAATAAGTCTAAACGCCCCCGAGCATATCTCTCGATCAGATATACCTCCCGTGGTCCACTTATAACATCGCAATGCTATACTAACCACCACCCCGAGACTTTCCAAAAATAGAGCCGTCAAACCCGACACTTTCTATTTTTAGAAACTCGCACATATTTCTCTTACACATGACACAACAAGTCAAATCCAAGAAATACTCATCTTATTAATCTCCAATGTCATAATCATTACACCAAAAATGAGAATACAAAAGAGATACAACCAAAACCAAACTCAAAAACCAAACAAGCCAACGGTCTACTCCTCGACCTGCTTGTCAAACCACTTCCGGAACCTTGCCTTCATCCAGGCCACTGGCTCCCACGTCTCCTCCAAGACTCCATCACAGTCCCACTGGACTCTCATCAAAGGAATCTTCTTACGCCAAAGTTCCTTTACCCGCCTCTCGAGAACCCTCACTGGCCTCGCCTCCAAGGTCATGCTAGGCTGAAGATCCGCCGGGATCGTAGCCAACACCTCATCATCCTTGTGAAGACACTTCCTCAGCATCGACACGTGGAATACCTTATGAAATGCACGCATTACCTCAGGTAACTCCAACCGATAAGCCACCGGTCCAACCCGCTCCACAATCCTGAAAGGACCCATAAACCTCGGACTCAGCTTAGTCTCGGTAAGGGACCTGTTAGGACCACGCAACATCGCCATCTTGAGATACGCCATATCTCCAACCTCAAACTCCAACTCTTTACGCCTCTTATCAGCATAACACTTCTGCCGATCCTGCGCCTCTCTCATGTTCAGCTTCAGAACCCGAATCTTCTCTGAAGTCTCCTGAACAAAATCCGCACCATAAATGCTCCTCTCCCCCACTTGAGTCCAGCATAGAGGTGTCCGACATGGCCTCCCATACAACGCCTCATAAGGAGCCATCCCAATACTCGCCTGGTAGCTATTATTATAAGCAAACTCCACCAAGCTCAAGTGATCTGCCCACTGACCACCCCAGTCTAACACACACATCCTCAACAGATCCTCAAGTGTATGAATGGTCCGCTCAGACTGCCCGTCTGTCTGAGGGTGGTAAGCCGTGCTCAAATGCACC